TTATGGACCTCATTTGCTGATAGACACGAGTGTATTTACTGACCACAATAATTACGCATCTTCCATAGACATCGAAGAACCAGTATGCACTCTCAACTCTATTGCTAAAAGTCTTTCTGTAGACGATGAAAAGTATATTCTAGCAGGCTTACTACCAATCAAAAAAAAATTGTTATAACGGCCACTACGTAGCCATAACGAACGCAGGACTAAATTGGTACGTATATGATGATTTAGTAACTAATCGTTCCTGTGCAAGTGCTAGCGACAGAGTATTATCCTCATGTTCTTCTTTACGTTAAAGTATAAAAAACTTGATATATACAAAAACTGTAAATAACCTATGTATTATATTTGTATTTTAATAAACTTAACCATTTTTTTAGTGAAGTTTTATCATAATACTTGACCTAATAATTGAAAAAAAAAACCAAAAACATCGAATATAAGTGCGGTTAGTAATTTATATTTTTTTATTGCAACTAATTATTTTTTTCTTGAAGTTGTCTCCTCGTATTGCTTATCTCATTTCTGTTTATCGCTACTCAAGTGTTCCAGGAGTTCTGATGGGAGTTCTGGATAGTTCTCAAAGAGTTCTACAAAACAAATACCTGGACTTGATTAATCCATCTAGTATTTTGGGAGTATCGGATTTTATACGATTAATTGATTTTTTGAAATACTCATTTCAACGTGATTTTTTTGACGAAATCTGGATATGTATTGTACCCAAAACCTATAGTGAACTCTAGAACTCTTTGAGAACTATCCAGAACACTGAAAAAAATTCGATTTTCTAAAAGACGCTGACGCATTTTTTCAAACTTTATTTTCAAGCGGATAATGACCGGAACTATTGATAAAAAGTACAGAGAACTCTAGAACTATTGTTAATCTATTCAGAACTCCAAAAAAAATTACATTTTTTCAAAAATGATGGGCGCCGTGAAGTTTGCCCCTCATTTTTTTAAATCGCGATTTTCCACATTTAATCGACAGAACTATTTTTAAAAGTCATCAGGAACTCTAGAACTTTTCTGCGGGCAATCAGAACTCCAACTACTTTTTTGAAATGAGCATAATGATGGGCTAACTTCACAGGGGTGATTTTTTGAGGCTATAATAATGATATTCCAACCTCTTAATAATCTTTTTGTATGTTTTCTCAATGACGGATTCTTCCGTCCTTCTTTTTATATCGTTTTCAGACATTTTTAAAAACAACAGGAACAAAAAAATACACTTACATACGCTGGATATATTAACACTGACATGCACGCCATTAAGCACGAAAAAACGTTATGAGGTTGATCCAAAGAACGGCGGAACCCGAGGTCCTGGTTCGTCCGTCCATTTGTTCTAATAACTCTGAATACTCGTGTGTGATTGGGCATGAAGTAGACGGAGCTATCAATGTAATCTCGAGAACGAGACGATGATATAATCTCCCTTGCAAAGCTCTAGTGCAACTAGTACACATATTTAACAGCTGCCTCAAGTTCTCCCACTTCTCAAATATCTGGAGACACGCGAATGTTTTGACTTTCCAAAAACGAGGAAAAGACAAACTCTTTCCACAAAACTATCGACCAATTAGCCTACTCTCAACATTAAGTAAAATTTTTGAAAACATAATATTCAACAGACTGAAAACACACGATAACATCAATAACCAAATCATAAAAATTTGGCTTTCGAGTAGGCCACAGCACAGTCCATCAACTTGCACGACTCACTAATCACATCAGTACAAATTTCAATATCAATAATATAACAACCGTAGCTTTACTAGATATAGAGAAAGCTTTCGACACTGTCTGACACAAAGGGCTAATATTTAAACTAGGTGCTCTCAACATCCCGCGCTATCTAATTAAAATCTTTCAACAATACCTCTACATCAGAACATTCACGGCCCAAGCTAATGGAGAACCATCTCTCAAACAAAATATAGTAGCAGGAGTACCACAAGGCTCAATCCTGGGACCAGTCCTCTTCCTCTACTATATCAATGACATACCAAAAACACTTAAAACACAAATAACACTATTCGCGGACGACACCGCAGTCTATTCTAGCTCGTGGAGCAAAAAGGTAGCGCAAACTAATGTCCAGAAACACATCGAACTCATCACAAAACACTTTGCTAAATGTAAAATTAAAATTAACGAAACAAAAACAGAATTGATTGTATACCCAGAAAGGGGAAAAAGAGCAAGGAAACTATACCTCCATTTTACGTAAACAACGCATACATACAACACAAAAAGGTGGCAAAATACCTGGGGGTATTACTAGATGATATGCTAAGTTACACAGTACACACAGACAACATACGCGTTAAAGTACAAAACTAAAAGGAATGCTCCACTCCCTATTGTGCAAGAAAAGCGTACTTACATGGAAGGTCACCTTCCTGAACCCCCACAACCTGGGTCGACAAAATTACGTTTTGTAGTTCACATCAAAGTATAAACCCTCACAAAAAATGAGCTGCCTACTTACATATTTAAGAGGTGAAATTAATTTCTCAAAATCGGTGATTTTTTTCGTTTTTCGCTGATATCTTTGAAACCAAAATAGATACGGCAAAAGTTTAAATAGCAGAGTTATTCATTTTTCAGTGCTCTGCGATAATATGTAGTTGAAAATTATATAGAATTTTTTATTTACTTTATTTTCATAAAAAACGTGTTATTTTATACATTTTCCTCTATTTTGTCATAATAAACTTAATTGTTCTGACTCAAAATTCAATGATATCAATCTACATGGGTTTTTTCCATCTCAAGAGCTCATTAAACCAGAGAGTTTTTTTTCCCAAACGCAAACAATTTTATAGATTTCAACTGATGACGTGTTCTTATCATTATCAAACTATGAGGCGGACTTCTTAATATACGTTTTATTTTTCCATGATATCCTATTTGTGAAGTTTAATATTGACATATCAGTAAAAACCTTTGTGTCTCAAACACTTCTTTGCGGAGTACCATTATTGTAATGAATATATTCCATAATATGAAAGTGAAGAAACTGATAAGTGCATGGCCTGCTTTTTCCTCCTGCTTTCATGAGTACTAGACATGTCAATAGCTCTAATACATGAATTAAAGGCTTTTAATAAATAAAATGAAGACATGTATAATAAATGAAGTTTTATATAGAATGGAAAAAAAATCATCTGATACTTATTCGCTTCTACTAAAATGGATGCACAAAACTGAACTAGAAGTAAATGATTTATGAGTATTTTAAGACAAGGGTAGAACAACATACCTGAATATACTAAACCTATATATGTATGTAAACATTTTCCGTTTGACAAATTTATCAATCTTGTTTAATTTTCCGGTAAAATAAGAACTTTTTCGATGATCAGATGAAGAAAAATGTATAAAAAACACGTTCTTTATGAAAATAAAATAAATAAAAAATTTCTATATAATCTTCAACTACATATTATTGCAGAGCACTGAAAAATGAATGACTTTCCTATATAAACTTTTGCCGTATCTATTTTGCTTTATGAAGATATCAGTGAAAAACGAAAAAAACAACCGATTTTGAGGAATTAATTTCACCCCTTAAATATGCAAGTGGGCAGCTCATTTTTTGTGAGGGTTTATACTTTGATGTGAACTACAAAACGTAATTTTATCGACCCAGGTTGTGGGGGTACAGGAATGTAATCTTCCTTGTCAGTATATTCCATCAAAGCCAGCCAAGTATGGAGTCAAGGTATGGTGGATATGTGATGCTGAAAATTCGCATCCACTTAGTGGACAGCTTTACACTGGACAGTCGAGTGCCGATCGTGAGAAAAACGTTGGTGAGAGTTGTCAAAGACTTGGTGGCACCGTACAAAGGATCTGGTAGAAACATTACAATAAATAATTACTTCACTACTCTGCCATTGGCAAAATTTTTACTTTCCTGGGATTTAACAATTGTTGGCACTTTGAAGAAAAATAAAACGTACATTCCACCAGCGATGGCTGCATTGAAAACACGAGAAGAATTATCCACTGTGTTTGGCTTTCATGAAAATATAACTATGTGCAGTTATGTGCCAAAGCAAAAAAAGGCAGTGATTATGCTATCATCAATGCATCAGGAAGCAAAAATTGGTGATGATGCAAAGAAAAAACCCGAAATTATTGAATTTTATAACTGGTCAAAAGCTGGAGTGGACACGATGAATAAAATGCTTGGAAGATATACTACAAAAAGATCAACTCGAAGGTGGCCTCTAGCATTTTTCTACAATATTCTTGATGTCGCCTGCCTTGCTGCAAATATTCTTTATTATGAGAACAATAAAGTGCTTCCGAAAAAATCGTACGAACGACGATTATTTTATCGGCAACTGGGCAGAGAGCTGTGTACTCCATTCGTCGAAGATCGTTCGCGAAATCCTCAAATCATGAGGCATTTCACAACGAAAGTGGCGATTGAAAGTTTTTTTGGTAGAGCTATAAATCCATATGTGCAGCCAACAGCATCTGGATCTTCAACACCTCAGGCACAGCTCGATTCAACCGGGAGAAAAAAGATTACTGGTGTATGCTATGCTTGTCTCCAAAGCGAATTCAAAAAACGTCGCAAAACTCGGAAATCATGCTCTGTATGTGAGTTACCTATTTGTGATGCACATTCTACTTCAACCACGACATGTCAAGAGTGTGCAAAATAATTAAATTTACCTGTTTGTTAATATGCCTATTTTAACCTACTATCTTTACTGATGTTTATAATAAAAATTGTTTAAACCAAGGAAATTACAAACTATATTGTTGATTATTTATTAAAAAGTCAAGTCACATAAATACTTTAATAAGTGGTCTTTCTAGTGTGTATAAAAAGTGAGTACCCGGGTACCCGGTCATTAAACGGAGGAGGTATCGACTTTGATAGTTAATAACTTTTATTAAATGAATGAATTAAAAAAATTTTGACGAAAAACTAACGTCAAACTACTTCAACTCTGGGGATCCGACCGTTCAAAAAAATTTTTTCAGGGGAAATTAACAAATTCTACATTGCAAACTGAAATGGATACCCGGGTAGCTGGTTATTGACCTGACGGTTAATATAAAATGTAGAGTCAACTTACAAATCAGAGCTCTTGTACAGCATTTGGGGAAAATTCGTCTAAAACAAATCGTATAATCACAATTTATCTAAAACAATTTTTCTAATCACAATTCGTCTAATAATAATTAGTCTAATAACCGTATAGTAACAATTAGTATAATAACAATTCGTCTATTCATCATTCATTTAATTGCAATTCGTCTAAACAATTTGCTTAATAACAATTCGTCTAATAACAATTCGACTTTCACACCAAATTTGTTTATATTTTTTCAATGTTAGGCATCCAATATTTGTGATGGGCTTAGAAATGTTTCGTTAGGTTAGGTTAGGTTGTAACCGTTTCACTGTACTATTCCCTTAAATGAATCCTCTTTCTGTTCCAGATGAATCCAAGGATGCCTGTATCTGCAGCCCACCTAAGTTTGTGTATCCATCCTTCGAGTAATTTGCTTATTTGAATCACACTTGAAAGTAATTCCTCGATCACAGATGATGTTACACTCCTAATGAAAATCCCTCTTTAATGGTAGATCCATTAGAGAAGCGTTGACGGATCACGGTTCGTTAATTATCGGTCGTTAGCTTGTTTAACCAACAACAAGCAAGGTGTCGGTGTGTCAGTCCTCCTGTCCTTATTTGCCACAAACTCTTCTTAAATGAGTGACACCTACTCAGGTTAATCACTATTGTTTCTCTTCTTTCAGGTGTTCCAGGATCTCCAGCCAGTTGCAGCACTTCAGGTAAGTATGAAATAATTGCTTTAATAATTATTCCGTTCTTTTGTTTCAGGTCTTCCAGGATCAATAGCGGTTCCAGTAAGTTCAGGTTCGTCTTTAAACCAGTTAATTTATTAATAATTAGCCCTTCCCCTTGCCTATCTGTCACTTTTGCTAATAATAGACTTAATTTCTTGAATTGTATTTGTACAATCAATAGTTAGTCACTTTCTGATGTCTCGTTACAGCAGATCTCCCATTAACCCTTTACTTTCTTTATTTTGTTTCAGATTCCCCGTATATAAGACACTTCACTAGCCACAGGTATGAATCTATTGTTAAAGTAGTACAAATAATTACATTCCTTAATTATTTTGTAAAATTTCTCCTTAGACTCATAAGAAGGATAATAATTCAACACTTTCAATTTTTGGTTAAAAAACACAAAATAGTTATTAATAATGTTTATAATAATTCACGGCACGTGCTACAACTTATAATTATAGTGTACGGTGCGGTTTTATATGTTATAGGTGGCGGACAGCGAAACGCACTCCTGACGCGCTCGACTCCGACTGAACTCTGGTGGTTTTGGCGCTCGCTTATACAAGCCCCGGACGGGTTCCCCTTACGCGCCCCCACTAAAAAAACTAATATAAATTCTCATATAAGCTATCCAACTACAAACTAAAGTATGGGTTGAACATATACGGTGAGCATAATATCTTATTTTTAATAATATTTTACAGAGTTGAGTGTGTGGGACACACTCTATCTTGTCTATCGAACTTTATCTTGATCTGAGCTTATATACAATCATTCTAGATCCTAATTAATGCATTATGAGCAACTAAACATGAATATTTCATCTTATAAGTGTGGATACAAATCTTTGTATGTAATATGACTTTCGCTATATCCTAGCTATAAAAGATGTTTATCTACCTTAGTTAGACGCTTTCTGAGCAATACTTTATGCTAATTATGTTCATTAAAGGTTCCAACAAACATTTTGAACTATTTAACTTGTTCGAATTATACTTCTCCCAGAACGTTACCTGGGCATGCTTTTAGTACATTATGAACGTAAAATCTTGGTTTAATACAAAAAATAAACGTTTTGATGTTCGCCACTTATCTTTGTCTGGCTATAATATCTTTATGTTATCGCGATCATCTGAACTTCCTCAAAATAATTTAGTTTTAGTATGACTTTTAAATTTAACCCATATCAAAACTCATTTGCTTTTTGTGGGCACGCATTTGGTTTTTAAAACAGAGTTATTCACCCATCGGTTGCAAGGTTAGGTTGTAACCGTTTCACTGTGTCCCTCCTTTAAATGCATCTTCCCTTCTGTTCCAGATGAATCCTGAGATGCCAGATCCTTAGTTTTATTTAAAATAATAAATTCTATGTGGAAATTTATTATTATTTACTTATACGGGAATCTTCCCATACAAGGTTGAAATAAATAAAGACACTTCGTTAATTTAATATTAAAACACAAGCACTTGTTATTTATTAAATAAGATGATGATTTACAACACGATATTGCGTATACTTCGCGTAATATTCCGATATTTCAGTACGTAGTAAAGTAACGACGATATAGCCTCTCGACGTGATCATGGAGAACTAAACTGGTGCTCGGAGTTGGCGTTCGCTTATATAGGCGAATAGGGGTACCCCTGACGCGCCCCCACCACTCCGAATTTTAACAATAAAACTTATTACTAATTATAATTAGGATTACATAAGTTGACTTATTGCCTATCCGATACATCACTAGAGTACATGGGGTCACATTAGATTAACATAACTTGTTAAATAAAAAACTATTGTGTGCCCCATAACCCCTTTTAAATAAAGAAGATAACAAAATGAAATCGTGTTCAAATTGGTTAATTAACCTTTCTGAACCTATCCCGCAACATCATCTTAGGCTAAGTTCTATTTTTCAGGAAACCCACAAATTGTTTAAACAATAACTTGAGTAAGTATAAAATATATCTTAAAATTAGTTCTTATCAATCTAATTACAACACGTTTATTAGATTTAGTCTAATTACTAAGATACCAGTTTTATCCAAGGGAAAACTTTTAACGGTTTTTATCCGGTTATAACCGGTTCACGAACTACAAAACTGAGTTTCTATTGTTACAAACAATTTATAAACTAACGCAGTAGTTATCAGTTATCAATCTTTAGCTCTTGTGTACAGTTTTACAATCTTAGGATTATTCGTTTAAACTTTATATAAGACAAGTCCCACAGAACTCTTATAAACATGAAGATCCATAGCTGAAATATTCCCAGGTAAGTTATTTTACATTTTTAAGTATCACGCGTTACATGGTTTCATTCCTAAACCTATATACAGTAATGCGCAATTGAAGTGGAACACTTGAATTTTTGTGTATCTCTACGAAACTATGACCGATTTAAAAAAACCAAAAATATATTTTTTAGGAAATTGCCTTCCCGTTCGAATGGTAAAAGTTTTATCCCGATCGGATACAAAATGGCCGAATGGCAGGGGTTGGAGTGAAAAAGTGCATTTTTGAACTTTTTGAAAATTTCGACATTTTGTATCCGATCGGGATAAAACTTTTACCATTCGAACGGGAAGGAAATTTCCTAAAAAATATATTTTTGGTTTTTTTAAATCGGTCATAGTTTCGTAGAGATACACAAAAATTCAAGTGTTCCACTTCAATTGCGCATTACTGTATACGCGTGTCGACAAAACTTATTAACTATAACAATTATTATAACAAAACTTGTATATAGTTATCTCTTAAGTATTCTTAGTTTGGTGTGTCCGTATTTATTAACGTAGCACATTTACTTTAGTAGTTATCAACTATTGCGCATTAGTTTGCTAAAACCGGAGATAACTGGATTTACATAAAACTTCTTCACTAACTTATATTCGTTAATGATAATAAATGCAATATGTTTTAACCTTAATTCTGAGTATTACATGTATATAGAATCTAGTTTTTAATTATTAACTTAAGACTTTTGTGTATCCGACAATTTGTCTTATATAAATAAAATATTTCAATTATCATATACCTCAGGCCCTTAATTAATGATTCTAACACCTTTGCGTCTATCGAATCCAGTTTTTCCTGTAATCTATGTGTACCCACAATTCTTTTGTATGCGACACTTATTCAACATGAATCTTAGCAATATGGCGTTTCTGCGTCCTATACTGCCTAGCATGTATACTTTAGTTTTAATTTTCTCACGTTTAACTGAGTTCCACAAATCTCAGTCAATAACGTTAATTCAAGCAAAGCATTAGACCTAATGTAGTACCAATGTTCATGTAAGACATTTGCGTCTATGTAATTGTATTTTTCTTGAATAAATAAAATGTTCTGTGTATCCCACAGTTGTCTGTTAATATCTAAACTAAGCTTGTCTCATGTTACATGTTGTATTCCGATTCCCTGATCGAGATCTAAGTGGTATTTCCACTTTATTTCTTACAATCCAATATATCTTTTTATAGGCAACGAAATAGCTTTTTAAATTATGCAGGATCGACTCCCGGTTGCAAGCTTAGGTTAGGTTAGGTTCCCCTTCGATGTGTCGTCACCTTGCCGAGGTGAAGGGGCTTGCGTATCCCAATGACCCCCGGGGCAATACCGGCGGCGGCTTTGGACCCTGGCAGGTACTACCATGCCGGAATGGCTCGGGGCGAGGGATCAGACTAAGAACGCCACACCCAGATAGTAAGTGGCATGTACGACGAAACCGATAACTTGTTTACGGAGCAGGGGAGGGATACCCCAGTTCCGGTCGTTGACAGTGCTCGAGCGAGCTGTCAACGACCGTCATCCTTGACCGCAAGATGAAAATGGAGATGGCGCGTGCTGCAGATCAGACTAAAGGGGAGGAAATACAGGATCCCTTCAAGAGAAGGGAATCGATAGCGAGATCTCCACCTAGTAACAACCACAGCAGAAGCCAGATACTAATACAGAACCCAAGAACCGAAAGTGTAACACCTATGAAAATAGATATCGAAGATGATCTATCACCAGTAGCAGCACCTAGGTCGCAAGTGGGACGACGAAAAACAGACCACCATAGAAAAGGGTCTACTAAGGAGCGAGCTACAACTAGAGAATGGGCGATGTCAAGCAAACCAGATCCAACACATAGACTAATCGTTATAATTGAGCGAATGGATCAGTTTGCTAGAAAGAACAAAAATGTGCATATACAACTGAAAGAGATGGTGGCCGAAGCCATTCTGCTGGCCAAGAGAATAGAAAAAGAAATATACAAACCACAGATAGCAGATAAACACGAGGAACAGCTACAGACAAGCTCACAAGTGAAATCACTTAAGTGCATGAAATCTGTACACACACAGACGGAAACCACAGTACATCATACATTACCACAGAAACATCGAGAAAACAACACAGATACTATACTCAAAATAACTTACGAAATCTTTATAGAATTCTTCATCGTCCTTCAATCATTGATTGAAAGTCAAAAACTCGATGGAATTCCCAAGGATATGAAAATCGTCTTTCTCGGTGAATTTTTTAATAGTCATTTTCTTGATCTTCAACCGCATACAGCGTTCTAGAGAATTCCGAAGACCCTGGATCGCCTCAGTCTGATTCTTTACGATGATCGTCAACCTGTTTATAGCTGTGTACAGCAACTTCGTCTCTGTACATAAAAAATAATATATAGAAATTAATGAAGTAATGAATACTTGTATTCATAATATATGCAATGCGCGTACAGTAAGTAATTTTACATCACTCAGTACATTTTTACACCTTGTAAAGTAAAATTATGTACAATACTCGTTAAAAAATCTTCGTCCTCGTAACGTAACGTACTATTACTACACAAGGCTTGAACGTGGGGGGTTTATGGTACACACACGAAGCGTAAAAATAGTGTTCGATTCTTGTGCGAAAAACTTTTTCTGACAAAATTTTACCGTACTTCTATAGAAATGTACTATTACTCCCATAAATGAATTTAATTATCATAGTGAAAATAATTATCGGTTATGAACTTATACATTTTTATGTTACTACATACCTTTAGAAAAATGTGTCTTCTCCGCGTTCATTTCCTCGAAGTTCGTCTCAGTCACTCGGTGCAAATCGTCAACATCAAAAGAACGAGCTTTGTTTCTCTCCTCGATTAAAGACTGCGAAGTTATGGAGGATCCAAACACTGTCGCGTTCACTGATCGTCTTATGTGTCATCTTTGGTAGCTGAGGAATATCGTCGAATGGGTTTCTCCACGAGCATTCTGTCATTGACGATGAAGGGGTTTCGTTCAGCTTTTGCGTCTTTATCTCCGTAGCATGAGTACTTAATGACCTAACGGATTGATTTCTTATAGCTTGACACAACCCTTGGAGACTTCGACTTCATTCTTTCCTTAGCCTTGTAACGTTACCAAATAACCATCCTCTCAGTACTCGTGTACTGAGAGCGCACGCGTTACAGAAGGACGGCAAATCACGCGTCTAGTAGATATACGCGCCGATAGATGGAGAACGTTTCCCAAAAGTGAAAGTAAGGAAAGGTAGTATCAACGTAATCCGATAGATGATTAGCGCTTCCCGCTAACAAATACCGGATTACCGGTAATTAAATACGACACTTCAAGCCGATAGATGGCAGTTCACAAAAAGTTGGAATCACTAGAGGAGAATAAAAAGTGAAGAAAAATCATCGTCAATAATCGTGTCAAGAGGTTACCGAAAAATTAGCACCTGCTATTCCGGTTATACCTCAACGTAGAAAAGATTGTCAAAGTTCTGAGTAGACCACCGGGATCTATCTCAGAAACTTGCGTCAGTGCCAGTTCATAATCAGTCATCCGCGCCGTTAGGAGTTGCGTCGCACATAGTGCCATAGCCGCTAGGAAGGCAAAGCGCCTCTAGGGTTATCGAACCAACACCGGCAGATCCTCTGTACCTCCCATACAGGTCAGAGAGAGATAGGGTTAGACAATAAACATAGGCAGACACCTAAACAATCCGTTTTCCTACTATACCGACAATAGATTTGGATTAGATAAATGACACCGATTATAACTCTACTGTATCGATCATCGATTATTTAATAAAATTTTGTTATTTTATTTTACGTTACCAACCTGTGTCGACTACCTTCTTAAAGACGCCAGCCCCGAGCACTTACCTACATCCCATTTCGTGCACTCATAAGGAGCGTACGAAATTGTTCTATTGACAAACGTTACAGCCTGTAGTTTGGTCTTTTTTGTAGTTCCCTTTTTTCAACTTTTTTGTTCTGTAATTCGTTCTTCTGAGCTTGAATTGACTTCGGTATGAGAAGCTAAAATACAAAAGAAGTGCACTGTTTCATTTAATTGGCAAAATGAAGAAATTGGTTATAATTGTAGATCGAAATCGGTTCTTATTTATAAATAAGCGATATTTGCTTATTTATGCCATAATTTATTGAATATTAATTATTTAATAAAACTCCTTACCGGTATCAATGAGTACCTGTTACATTTTATTTTTCATTTTTAAATGATTGGAATTGCATTTCCTGATTTTCTAATTACCATCCCGAAGTTTAAA